GAAATTCCTTTTGTCAACCAGAAGCTAAAAGTAGGCTTGATCTTTCTAAATCGTAGGCGGTAGCACCATCATTGCAGCAAAATGTAGGCAAGGTGGGAGATTGTTTGGGAATGCAGTGCGCTGTGCCCAGACTATTTTAGCCCCCTTGTCTATTGCACTGTTTCTGCTAGATGTTCACGGTTACAATTGGGATTAGCATCTTTAAAAAGGTAAAACAATACTGTTGACAGGGTATGATGGTAACCTTCACTTTTTTAGAGTATGACTTGCCAGGTGATATCTTTGTTGATTATGAAACTGCTTGGGCTAAAATCTTTTGTTTTATCCTTACTAAGAAGGGAATAGTAGTTTGAAATTGCCTAATCATAAGAGGGATTGTGTCCCTTGAATTGTTGCTTTTCAGATAGTTATTTTCCATCTCACCTTGTCATGTTGATCTGTACAATAAACTTAAGGAGTTTGAGAATTCCATTTTTTTTTATTTGTAAGCCATGCTTGTAATTTTAAATCACATTCCCAAATCTAAAATGAGGAAAATGGGAAATGAAATTCCCATTTTTTAAATCAGAAATTGTATAGAATGCACCCATTACGTTCAGCATTTGAATAAAATTTAATTGAATTTAAATTTACATGCAAGTCATTACAAATAGGACACTTGAGGCTCCAATGCGTTTCATGAGGGTCTGACCTCTTAATTATGCCTTCATTCATTACTGTACTAAGTGAAGAATGAAAGTTATATTTTGCTGTGTATTTGTTTAATTCTACACTATGTTATACTTTATAAAAACTGAAAGAACTGCGGATGCTGTAAATCATGAACAAAAACAAAGTTGCTGCAAAAACAAAAGCTCAGCAGCGGGTTCTGAGGGAGGGTCACTGGACCCGAAACATTAACTCTGTTTTTTCCTTAACAGATGCTGCCAGACCTGCTGAGCTTTTCCAGCAACTTTATTTTTGTTCCATGTTATACTTTATCCTTTCCTTCTAATGTATGTCTTCCATGGCTGATCAGATTCTCAGATCAGCATTATTGTATGCTTCTTCTGTGTGTTGCGTGACCACTGTCACTGAATTTGACTTTCCCTCCCCTTTTTCCTTGACTCTCAGTGTCTATGGCTGTAGTCTATGGCTACCCTGTGAGGAAATTACATGTGCACACTTGTGTTCTGGCACAGATCCAGAGCTGTGCTGGCAATACAAAATAAAACTGAATAATTACATGTCCAAATTCTAAGTTACTTATTTGCCCTTCTCCAGTGAAACTTTCATCCAATTTATAAGTCTCTTACAAGTCTTTTATAAGTTGCTTTGACAGTCAAAACACAGAATGCAGCACATCTAAAACAGTAGAAGAAAGACAAAGTAGGTGGCTGTAGAATCTGCCTGTTCATTATATGCGCCCAACATCAAGTTGATGGTTAATATTTCATATCATTGCAGTTTGAGATACTTGGAAAACCTTTGAGGACTTTCGTCTTTTGGAGCTAGATTCGAATTCTGGTGATGGGCTGGAAGGTAGCGGGGGGCCAGTTGGGTGACAAGGTAATGGCAGAGGATGGCATGCCCATAATCATCCTCCTGTCGAGAAATCTTCCCCACAGGAGGGAGGGTGGGCAGACTGCTCTCCCCAGCTTTAACTGGTCCAGGACTTGGAATCTGAGAAACTCCTTGTAGTCCCAGTCCTGGCCACAGCTGTCCTGGCACTGGTGGGGACTACAGTGCTACTAGCCAATCAGATTGCTGAGCAGCTCTCTGAGCGGACTTCTGCTCAAATGAGGTGTTGAAGTTCCACTTCTAACTGAACATCGTTCCTTGCTGTGTAAACTGGCTGTGGGCTGGCATAACAAACACAGAGAATGCCGGAGAGACTCAGGAGATCTGGCAGCATCTGTGGAGAGAGAACCAGAGTTAACAATTCCTGTAAGGGAGCAGTGACTGATCAGATTACAATTTGATTTGATAGCGTGGTGCATTTCTCTGTGAACTTCTCTATTTGTATGTTAATTAGCTCAAGCCTATACAATCATTAGAAATAGGAGCAGGAATAGGCCATCATCTCTTTGAGCCAGCTCCATTATTCATTAATATCATGGTCAATCTGATTGTCACATCAGCTCCACTTTCCTGTCTCCCATAACCCTTGACTCCCTTGTCAACCAAAAATCTGTTCTAACTCAGCCTTGAATATATTCAATGATGTAGCCTCCACTGTGCTCTGGGAAAGAGAACTATATGACCGTATGACTATATGACCCTCTGAGAGAAAAGAAAATTCTTCATCTCGGTCTTAAATAGGTGATCCTTAATTGTTAAGCCACATCCCCCAGTTCTAGATTTCCCTGAGAAAACATAACCTCAGTATCTACTACTCTCTCAGTCCTCTTAATAGGAGTAAATTTACTGATCTTGTGCTAACCTGCTTGAAGGGATAATAATTCTGCAGCCTTGCCTCCAATCTGCAGTCCCTTCAAGCAGTAGATCAGCAATCTTTCTGAAGATCTTTGTGCTCTTTGTGAAGTTCTGTTTGAGTTTTTTTTTGAGCTCTCTGCCCAAAGGCAGGCCCGATTGCAGTGCCACAACCTTGACCACAAGTAGGGCACGTCCCAAATCCACTACAGCCAGAACAGGGATTGAATCCATTCTAGAGATTGGCACCAACTTGATCCACATTGGTTCTCCAGCCAATTGAGCAAACAAGCATGCCAGCAGTCTGAGTTGCTATGGCAACATATACTTTTACGTGCATGTTGTATCCTGGAGCAGTGGATAATGGTTCCAATTTCTTTCCATCATATGGCTGACCAAGAATCTCTTCCGCTGTTACCATGTTTGGAAAGATTTACAAGTTGATCCTCAACTTGTTTGGCTGCATTGTGAACAAACCTTCATGGGCCATCAAGTCTAAGAGTGGGACTTGAACCCAGGCCTTCTGGTTTAAAGCAAGGATGCTACCCACTGGTCCACAAGTCTTTCTGTCCTGTCCATCTAATTATTATACTTCAGAGAAATAAAATGACTGAATAAAATTACATTGCTGTTTCTCTAGAACAAGATGCTGCTGTGTAAATGGATGGTTTTGTTTAGGCTGTGATGTAGATATTCATCGAGCAGTTCATGCCACCTCCCCGGGTGTCCTCGTATTAAATTGCCAATCAACAGCTCCAAGTAGACAGAGGTATTTGGCTAGCCACAGCAAGGGAGGGAGCTCAGCAACCATCGGATATTAAAAATAATGCTTTATAATATTCCCTGTTTGTGGTCTTGCTCTATAATGCTGGTTTACATCACGCTGGACATCTGCCAACCCTTCAATCTGGACTGTATAGCAGACAAAAGCATGTAGGAAATGGAGCCATACTGCAAGGAAGTGGGAGTCAGGGTAGTTATCAGGGAATGAAAGTGGAAGGTATGCACCATGCAAGCCAGGAAATGTTTTACACACTCCAGGCCAAGAAGGGCTGTAGTATCTCAGTGTAGATTTTTATGAGTGGAATGACAGCCCATTCCTATAATCAAGTCTTGGACTGCTCCTCTTTGAAAGGCTTTGTTTTCTCTGATACTTCATTTACCATCTTGAGTTCAAGGATTCAGTACAAAGTGTGAACAGTCAACAATATTACCTCAGGGCTGAAAAAGAATTTGATCAAGGATCAAGTACTGTGGGAAATGATCGATCTACATTTCAAATTTATGGACGTTACATGGAAAAGGAAGAAATATTTCTTTAAGCTTACTTATTTGGAATACCTTTTCTTAATTTACAATCTTTTTTCAGTCTCATATTACTTTATTCCAATTGATCTGGAGAATGAGAGGACGAGGTAGGCTGAAACTGCAGTGCAGCATGAATTTTTAAATTATTAATACACCAATTTTGGAAAGCTTTTTGGGGGAATGATGTACAGTATATCATTCAAATATAGTGCTGCATTCAGGTCGATGTGTCATTCTATATGAGAGAACACCTTTGTTATTACTTCGCACATATTCATTTAACAGTATTTTTAAAAGGTGTTTAATAGAGCCAAAACTGCCCAGGGGTACAAATGCTAAAAAAGAGAGACTATACTTTTTTATGAAGGTGTCAGATATTTAGCTGCTGTAATGTAGGAAATTACCTTTCTTTCTGACACAAAAGCAAAATACTGTAGATGCTAGAGATCTGAAATAAAAACTGGAAGTGCTGCAGAAACTCAGCAGGTCTGACTGTATGTGTGGAGTTTCAAGTTCAGTGTTTCACTTTTGCAGAACTGAAAATAGGTGCTTTTATCTCTGAATCAGATGGAGAAGCTCATGAGTATTACAAATGTTCCACGTTCTGTAGCTTTAACCATGAGTGAGACAAGCAGCAGTTTTGAATGTTCACCCTGCACATAAACCAAGATGTTAGCTACATAATCTGAAGCAAGCATCAATCAAAGAAGGATAAGAAGAATGAGTTTTGTCCTCAAAATGCTGAGGAATGTTAGCAGGGCGTTGAGTATTTTTCTCCTAATGTCACCATCAAATGTTCTAGGTCTTGAGTTAAATGTAGGAAAGAAATCTTTAAACTCCATCCTACAAAACATGTCTTATCCCCAAAGGAGAGGAAAACTACCCAATTAAAACATGAAGAATTTGATTTTCCCAGACCAACCACCTGTTTGGCCCCAGTGTAAGACTGCTTAGTACCAATTCCTTGCATGGACTCTTGCCCACTAGGAACTCAATCTCGATTGCCTTAGAAATGTTTTATTTAAGACTTTTACAAAGGAGACTTTCATTCTGTCAATCTAAACTTGAGTTGATCCTGATTGCCAAAAGTGAAAAGGCAATTTTTAATCATGACCCTAGGAAACTCACCATAAGCTAAATCTGGTGATTGTTGTCATGACTAATGTTGGACTGAATTAATATCTTGTTGATCAGGTTTCAAGATCTATTGTCATCGTAATTACTTGTTAATTGTATTATTGAGAGTAGTACCTTAAATGCTTTGTTCTGTTTTATTGCAGTGGGAAGCAGAGTGAGTCAAGAGCTAATGTACACACGGGAGAAACTGGGCGAGGAGACGATCTTCACTACACAGATGTTAATTCAAACCTCAAAGAAGGAAGGGGAGAATATCCTTACTCAGGAGGCGTTGCTTCAGCACCTGCTTGCTGCACTGGCAGCCAGCAAAGTGCAGGTCTCGCTCTATGGAAAGTAAGAACATTGCTCCCATCACATGTTGACTTGAAGGGGGTTTTCAGGCAGGAAGAGAAGGCAGGGCAAATATGGAACACACTTTATTGGTCAGGTCATTGACGTGAAACATGAGCTGTTTCTCCCTCTGTGCGCAGAAGCAGCCAATGCTGCTAAGTATTTCCTTCCTAGTGCACTCAGCAAACTAGGTTTTAGGTCCATGATATTTTAATCCACACATATCCTTGCCCATGTAGCCCATGTAAAGATGGGTGGACAGACAGGTCATGTTGAGGAAATGGGGAGACTGCAGAAGGACTTGGACAGGCTAGTGGGGCAAAGAATTGGCAGATGGAATACAATGTGCAAAGTATGAGGTAATGCACTTTGGTAGGAAGAATAGAGATGTAGACTATTTTCTAAATGAGGAAAGGCTTCAAAAGTCTGAAGCACAAAAGGACTTGGGAATCCTAATACAAGATTCTCTTAAGGTTAACATACTGGTTCATTTGGCAGTTAGAAAGGTAAACACAGTGTTAGCATTCATTTGAGAGGTTTAGAATACAAGAACAGTGATGTACTGCTGAGACTGTATAAGACCCAGGGCAGACCACATTTGGAATACTGTGAGCAGTTTGGGCCCCATATCTAAGGAAAGAAGTATTGGACATGGGGTCCAGAGGACATTTACAAGAATGAACCTGGAGATGAAGGGCTTGTCATACGAAGAGTGATTGAGGACTCTGGATCTGTACTCGATGGAGGTTAGAAGGATGAGGGGGGTTCTATTGATATTTACAGAATACTGAGAGGCCTAGATAGTGTGAACAAGGAGAAAATGCTTCCACTAGCAGGAGAGATTAGGACCCAAGGGCACAGCCTCAGTGTGAAATGATGACCCTTTAGAACTGAGATGAGCAGGAATTCCTTCAGCCAGAGGGTGGTTAATCTGTGGAACTCATTGCCTCAGAGGGCTGTGAAGGCCAAATAATTGAGTGTGCTTAGACAGAGATAGATAGGTTCTTGATTGGTAAAGGGATGAAAGGTTACAGGGAGAAGGCAGTAGAATGGGGTTGAGAAACATCACGGCTATGACCAAATGGTGGAGCAGACTTGATGGGTTGAATGGCCTAATTCTGCGCTTATGCCTTATGTACTTCTCATCTGTTCTGGGCAGAAAGAGAGTGCAGATAAACCTGCAGCAGATGGTGATAAGCTTTCTGAGCATTTCTCACCATTTTCCAAGTATATGGTGCATATTTCGGGAGAATATGTTTCCCCTGATTGGTCCCTCAAGAGCTGGTCAATTCTTATTGTTCATCCGTCCATTCCCACCCATTCGGCATGGAGACCTAAAGTGAGACTCCCTTCCTTTGTTTTTTGGCTGGGCTGTCAGCCTGATACCATTCATTTCTCCTGGCTGTTGAAGTTGAAACGTCTGTACATCATTCTCAGCACAATAGGGTGGAAGGTGGCCTAATCTCCTGCTTTCACTATTCGCCCAGTTGATTTCATAGGATAGGAACAATATTCTTCCATTTCAGTCATTCTTTCTTGTCCTTACCTAGTATCTGATGATTCAAGTCCTTCAGCTTGTCCTGCTTGCCTATATTTGGGGGAATAGGATGATCCTTAAAAAACTTCGTCAATGGAATGTTTAGTTTAAATTCCTGAAAGTACAATGTTCTGGCATTCACAATTGTAAATAAATGCATATATGCTTGCTGTCAGTAATTAGCATTGCTGGCTCCATCAGTGTACTGTTTAACCAGGTCATTGCCCTTTAACCTTTCTTTCAGATCCTGGGATTTAAACAAAATCTGTTACAAATCTGGAGTGCCTATCATTGAGAATGGCATGATTGAGCGAGTGAGTATGACAGAAATTAAATTTATAATTATAATTATAATAATATAATAATTATAATAAAGAGGGTATCTCTTTACTTTCAGGAGCTTTTCATTTTTATTCACAATTCTCAGAGAGCTTTCTGCTGATTGTCAAAGTGAGTGATAATCAGTGCCCAGGACCCATTCTTTAGCCGCTGAATTTCAGCGTTACTATCCTGATATAGAATGATGCTTCCTCTGCCCTAACCTAAAAGTGTGCCTTGAATCTTTGTTATGCCCTGATATGATGGCTACATTGCAGTAAAGTTAGTGTAATTCAATTTAGCGATAACCCAGAGTGATGTGTAGCAGTGGAGTACTATGTAGGACTCTCCTTCTTAACCTGTCCCCTCGCCTGAAGTGTGGTGACCCTCAGGTTAAACCACCACCAGTCCTCTCTCTCTAATGAGAGAACAGTCCTATGGTCCGGTAACACAATGGTGACTTTACCATTACCCTGTATTATCTCCATGTGACAAGGTGACAAAATGTTTCAGAATTCAATCTGCTGCTACTGTATTTAGCCTGTGCTACTATTAGAGCTCATGTAGAGAGAATTCTCAATAATTGCCTTCCAGTCCAAAGATGTGCACTTAGGTGGATTGGGCACAGTAAATTTCCCCCCATAGTATTCAGGAATGTGCAGGCAAGACGGATTAGCTGCAGGAAATACAAGGTTACAGGGATAGGGTGGGTCTGGGTGAGATGCTTTTCGGAAATTCAGTGCAAACTCGATAGGCCGAATAGCCTGCTTCAACACTGTAGGGATTCTATTGAAGAAAGGATTACAAAAAAGTAGCAAATTCTGCCTCACCAATATAAAAAAAACTTGGTCCAAATGGTTGGTACATGTATACATATATTAGATATTGAGCATTGACAAGCTGTGTGATCACGGGATGCAGTACAGGTGAACTTAATCCTATCCCCGTCCAACATTCTGATGTCTCTGTACGTCCAGCACAAATCATTGGATAAGAGTCAAGTGTGGAAGGCATAGTTCATTCTTGCTTCCCTAACTCAAGAGTGTTGAGATCAATTGTAACAGTCATCTAACTATACTGGGAAATGTCAGCTAATTTAACACAATCTGGAGATAAGCACAGCCTACCTTGCCTGTATGGTTGTGCTTCTCACTAGATAAGCAAGTGGGAAAATTATTTAATCTCTAAATAATATTAGCAAAGCCCATAAATCTCTATATACCTAGAGCACTTTGTTAAAAGCCCTGTGCTTATACCTTATGACTGCCAACAACTTTGCCATGAAACACAAATTTTCATCTAGATTATTTATTATATTGTAGGGCAAAGGGTTAATTTAATATGGTGATGGGGGTGGAGTGGACTGCAGACTCTTTTTTTTAAAAAATGCTCCCATGTGGAGTTGCTGACATAATATGACACTATGCTATGTGTACAATGGAACTTGCATGTTGCTGTCAGGCTTTCAAAGCCAACTAGTATGATCAAGACGCAGAGGCAGAAGGCTGATGACAGGCTATGCTGATTTATGGCCAGCTAATAGTTTTGGAGTTCAACGTGGTCTCTGCCAACATAGCCTGTATATGTTCCAACGGAAGAGGCTGTTTGGCACACACCATCATTAATTATCTCTGCTGTTTTCTGTTCTGCCTTCTCCCCAACCCCCTGCCCCACAGATACACACACACAACCACAAATTATTAAACATCAATTCAGCACTGACCACAATGAATATTGTAGTTTATGAGGATCAGAAATCCCCTTGTTAGAAGTGCAAAATTCGTACTCCACTATGTTCTTCTCATAAGTAGTCAGTAAACATAATAGAATTGTGGTGGATCATTGTGGCCATTGATATGTAGGTTTGACCATAGAGTTTTTGGCCAATTTCAAAATGTTTCTGAAAATGCTGTTAAGTTGCTTTTTTTGTATTTCATTTAATAGATCTAATCCCATACTGCATGTGGGAGCTGTTCTTTACAATTAGAAAAAAAATGGAGAGTTAGGTCAGTGTGATAACAAGTTGCAGTGTGGAAAAGTCTGGCTAAAAAGGGCTTCTCATTCAAACCAGTATACAGTGCACAAGTTAAAAAGCATAAATCGTTGGCTGTAGGGACAGGCATCAAACTCAGTGGACTGCTGAAATTCGGTTGGAAGAAGCAGTTATCAGGCTGATGATAGCAATGATTGCACACAGGTATGTTTTAGGGGGTGGGGTGATGTTAGGTATGAGTTTGAGAGAGTTTTGTGGGTGAGAATTAGGGTGTCCAGGAAAACAGAGGCTCTGCCTTGCTTGGCACAGCTCTCCTGCTCTAATCTGTGGAACTCACTTTAAAACTTACTTAGGACTGAAATAACTGCACAGAGGCTGGTATCCCATCACCAAGTCACCCTTTATTTACACGTTCATAGTACATGCACTCTGACCGGCTAGCTCAGAGCCAGTCCCTAGAGTGAGGAGACTCTCTGAGACATCTGTTTATATCCGAGAGCCAGGGCTTTCAGATTGGCCCAGGTTAACAGCTCCAAGCAGGGATCTCATACTTAACCTCGATACAGGCACTACAGACATTCGCTCTGTCCATCACAAATAGTTGTATAAAAACGCAAGTTCTGACAGTGGCTGTGGGTAAATGCACTACTTGATGCATTATTGAGCCAGAAGCTAACCAAGGCAGTCACACGTTCAGTTCAGATCCTGGCTGATATTGAGTCAGTTGATTTTAGACATAAGAGTATGGCATTTGTCGTCAGCACCCTTGGTGGATAGTGGGGAAGATCAGCCAATGGTGATCGTTGTATACACACACACACACACACACACACGTGCGCGCGCACACACCGAGTCAGTGGAATTTATGATTGAATAGCTTGTTGACATTTTATAATCCAGGATCACACACGAACAATAATTATTTGGGGTGAGACACTGAGGATTACCATTGGCTTTAAAATGCACCTCTTTGCATTCGTCATCATGGACAAATGAGAGTCTGCCATGATCAACCTCTTTCCAAACTTGTTTCGATTTGTTTTAGCACTATGTAAGGACTACGACAATTAACCAAGTCAAGTATTTCCAGTCTCTGCAATTTAGGAGAAGTCTTGAAGGTCAGGGGAGGGATTACATCACCATAAATCAAAGATGCCAGTGTGCATACCACCAACATTTATGGACAATGTAATGCTTTTTCCCTCCCCCAGTCACTAAATATAACTTTGCCTTGATGGGTAGACCACAAATTAATGAAAATCAGCAGTCAAAATAGGATTAAATAAATTGTTTTCTCCCAATTTTTCAGTTTCTTTGTTTTGCTTATGGTACAAACACAGCAATATTTGCTCACTTACTTTCCCTCCACCCTCCAGATGATTGAGAAGCTTTTCCCCTGTGTTATCCTAACTCCGCTGGACTGTTTCTGGGATGGTGCCAGGCTTCAAGGAGGTTCTGCTTACCTACCGTAAGTACGACTGTGTTAATTGTTATGTTTCTGGGGTTTTAGGGATTGGTACTCTAAAAATGATACACTGGATGTTTCTCGCAAGTTTTTGGTCTGAACTAGAGTGGTGAGAGACTGAACAATGGCTTGCATTCTTCCCCGCGATGTGGTTACTTGTCAGGCGGAGCAGAGAGACCTATGGGAATTCTTTGTCAACAGACGGTAACTGAAGTTATTCTCATGCTAATCGGAGCCTTATTGCTGCAAGTTGTCCAACAAATAAAATGTACACATCATTCATGCCACGGGCCCTATTTAAAAAATGCCCCTGAGAAGAAAAAGGCCCTCTTTCGATTAAAATCAGCTCACTTGACAGCATTCCATTCTTGAAAGATTTTTCACAGTTTTTTTTTGTGTTTACTCTGTGGTGTTAAACTGACACTGACTCCGACTCTTTCAAATCCATTTTAAAAAAAAATCAGTGTGGACATGTGACGTGCAGTATTTAGCATTTTTTTTCCATTTGTTTCCTCACTGCCTCCGAGCCACAGAACTTACCCCAATTTGCTACCGTCCTCCCAACCCCCCCCACTCCCCTTCATAGCCGAAGGTTAGTCTGTGTGTGCCGTCAGCTTCCGCTTCAGTTCAGCCAGTTTGAAAAAGGAAGGGAGAAAGAGAGAGAGAGAGAGAGAGAGGGAGAGAAAGAAGGAGAACAAAGAATGGCAATCTATTCTCAAAAGTGGAAAAACAAAAGGGCTTGAGAAGGCTCACTCAAGCAAGAAATAGGAGATAAAGGAGCCTCTCTTTGGTTGCAGTAGAAGGGGTCGCTGGTATGTGGGAATCAGAAAGAGCTTGCTTCATGCGATGCTTCACTCATGAATTATTGGAGTGTCATTCTGCCAGTGTTGGACTTTTTAATCCCCGCTTGTCTTCTATTTGAGATGTCCTGTACACTTGAGTCACCCTTTCTGGCAGATTTTTTTTTCAAGATTCCTTCATTTGGAAAAAAAAACTTAAGAAATCATGGGGAGGCTTTACTTATGAGAAACCAGTTCAAAAGCAGCAAAAAGAAAACTTATAGGAAAGGAATACGAATATTCAGAGAATATTTTAATAATTTTATCTTGGATAGTTGGAACTCTGGCTTTAGCTTGCCTACTGCTTTAAAGCTAACAAGATCTTGTAAAATGACAGGAAAGTTTTGCTTTGTTTTAAAGGACTATCTGAGGAAAGTTTCCTTTCCTTTCACAAGTTTCCTTTACGGACATATGGCCAACACTGAAATATCAAGTTGTTTGTGATCCATAGCATTTCATCACTGTGTGTCATGGATTCTTTGGAAAACCACTGGCTTGACGGTTCTCATGGGAAAAGGGATGGTACTTCAGAATCCATTCTCCAAAATGCCCATAAATCCACAGAATTCCATGCAGTGAAACGTAGTATGACTTATTCAGTTGTCCTGTTTATTTGCCAATAATACTTTAAACCTATGATGATGATGTCAGTGATTGTTACTTGTGCAGACATTATTAAGGCACTGAATTCTGCCACTAAACAGCATTGATTGATTGTCACTGGCCTTATAGAAATGCAATAAAACACCTCCCTCTCTAAATATCTCTTTGCCTGTGTTAGATTAGACTTTGATTTATTGTCCCACGTATATAAAAATACAGTGAAATGTGTTTTCATGTACAAAACGCAAAATATCGCCATGCCCTGGTGCTATCTTGAAACGCTGAATATAATGCAAGATTTTACTGCATTAGAGTTCATCTTGCCCTCTTCTTCTTGTAACCCTCTGCTACTCCGCTGTTCGCTGCTTGACACTAGTGGGGCTTTCTGTAACGGGCTCCAGCATCTCGCTTATGAGCCTCCCTCTGCTGTTTTAATATAGAGCATGTATTTAAGATATTAAATAAAAGCAGATGGTAAGGAGCAAGTTTAAGACAGTTACCTGATTTCAGTTGTTAGATGATAGTTTGAAAGCTTTTGTATGTCACTCTTTCATTTTGCACACTTAATGCTTAAAATAGTCACGTTAAATCACTCTGTGATGGTTGGTATTCTATAACTCATCAAACTAACATTTTATCATTATTGACTTGAGTTACCAAGCATTTTAGCTTATTTAAATGTTACCGAAAGGCTTGGAATAAAAAAGACGATAGATTGTCTTACTTCTCCCCACCCCCTCCCACCCACCTTCCAGTAAAGTAACTAGGAGAGACCTGACAGTTCTGAAGAACTTTATTAGGTCTTGTCGGAATGGAGTGAGGCAGTCTGGGGAAGGAGGGTGTGAGCATCGTATAGGAACCTCTTCTATCCTGCTTCCCTGAGTCCGGTTTTCCACTTGGCTCCCAAATGGTGATGAGCTGGCAGCACTGGGTATTGAAATGCACTGAAACGAGAAGAAAGAAAGAGAGAGAGAGGAAAAAAAAAGACACTCTTTGTGGTGGCGGGAGAAAACCGTACAAAAGGATATTTTACAGATGAAGAGATTAATGATTTAATGTGGCTGAGAAGAGAGCTGTTACATGGTGAGTGGGAGGAGGAACGAGCACATTGGGGGAGGGGGAGAGACACAATCAAGAGTGGCGGCCAGTGTTGGAGACCGCAAGGCTCTGTTTGTGGGTCGTAATCTGATTATTTAGAGGAACGACCTTTAATGAAAAATTAATTTGGTCGGGCCTTACACATAGCCTGGATATATGCAGGTGGACAGTGCCGACTGAAGGAAAATTGATTCATTAAAGTGCCACCTAATTGCAGCAGAGTTGGAGATCTTAAACAGGAAGACTCTAATCACATTTTTAAAGAAACACTAATGATGGAAAAAAAATCTGAATGTTTTGCCACATCGAATAACAAAATTTTTTATACATGTATTTCTGTCTGGTGATAAGCTAATTATTATGCACCTCTTCTGTGTGAAATGGTAGCATGTTAGTATGAAGCTGTTTTTTCTATCATTTTAACCAAGAAACTTAATAACTTTTAATGGAGCAATTTCATACAAGTACATTGGTACATTTGCTTACTGTTATTGAATGACGACAGTTCTGTTGGTGTTTTGTTTGTGTTTATATTAAAACTATTTTTTAGTTTTGACATATTTTATTCCTTAATTTTTATTTAGTTTTCCAGTGTTTTTGTAGCTTAATGCTGCAGTGAACCATTTGTCCTATTCCATTAAGTATAAAACCTGCAAACAGAAAAGCTCACAAGTATGAGGCTGCCTCTCACTCATTTCGGGCTGCTTCTTATTACAGTTTAGTCAGTCCTTTAACTAACAAGCATACATCATTAACCATCCTGATATCACCATGTCAAAAGAGGAGGAGATGATCCCTTCCCTTCATTCACTGCAGGAATTTAAAATGACCCAAGACAAACCACACGCCAGTAATATCAAGACATTTGAGAGTTCTCCAGTAATTGTCATGTCTCACTGCACAAAGTTAAGAAATACGAGTGGGCACCGCAGCCTGATCAGGCTTTCCCTCACTTTGTTCCTCCATAATAGGATAATACATGGTCTTTTACTCTGCATCTGGCAATGATATAGGCTTAAAGGAGGAGGTATCACCATGGGTAAGCATTGTCAAGAGGAAATACTTACCTATAGACCACTTCAGTGTGTTTTGTCAATTTCTAGGAGGATATTAGAAATAAAGTATACGATAGATATGGGAAAACAGTATTCTAAATTTCAGGAATATTTGTATCTGTATGGTTCCCTGATTTATTTGCCCATTTTCTATAAAAGCTGGGGGCAGGTGTGGTGCAGGAGTTTCCTATTTGGAAAACATCAATGACAGCAGTGTTTCTCCTGTCTATAGAAAGTGATTGTAGATTGTTTCCTTTCAAGATAAACAGTTTCATTAACAGAAATTACCTGTTGAGTTACCTTATCCACTGAGACTCACATTAGAAATGTGAAATAACTGAAGCGATCAAGTGAACTTACTGACAAGGTGGGGAGGCGGCGTGGGATTTCTTCTGTTTACTGATTGTAGCCAATTTATACAAGAATTCTTCGTCCATATGTTTTCCATTTCATGACAAGTAGTGGACAGAGGAAATCTTCCTGCATAGTAATTTAAACAGATATTGTCACTTCCATAAAGAAGGAGTCTCGCCATCAGAATGAACTGAATAACTAAAAAAAATACTGCTAGTAATGTTTTTTCCTTCAATGTCTACTTTTTAATTTTTTGGTCAGTAGCCATTTTTATTCAGTGGTTGAAATAACATCATCAGTAGAATTGACTTTGATTAGCTGCTGAATCTTCAGTGGGGATGTAATGAATTAGTGTCCACAGTTAAAATGACAACAGATAAAATAAAAAGTATAAAGGTTCCCAAGGTTAATAATAATTCATCTTCCTTATACTGTCTTGCCTTGTAACTCCTCCAGTACACACACACCCTCTTACTGATTCATAGTTCAAATAGCATTATCTCACAAAAAAATCAACCGTTTGACAGAAAAACAATTTTTAAAAGGTCTTGATGTTAAGACGTGCCCATTTGAAAGGAACCTTGATATTGAGACTCCCTGTGTAAATAACATCTGCATGGTTATATTGAAAAATTTTTAAAAAGCAAGTTTAGTAGAAGCTTTGAACAAACTTGGCTCAGAATTTGTATTTTTTATTATTTTTGCTAATCAACCTGTTCAGAAATGGCATTACTCACTTCTGAAACAGGCGGGACTTTAACCCAGGCCTTCTGGTCCAGGGGTAGGGACATTACCACTGCATCACAAGAGGGCCTCTGCACAGAATTTGTAAAATAGAACAAAGCATATGTAACACCTGGCCACAAATTCCAAAACTGGTAATATTGTTAGCAGGAGGACAAGTGCTAGTAACAGGCTTAGGTAATAGAAATAGGAGAGGGGCTAAGTGAGAGGCAGTGTCCATGACGCTGTACATTGGTTCTAGGATCGCATTGATGACATCTTCCAGCAACTTTGATAAAGTTAATAAAACTAGTTGGAAAACTCCTCATTTGCATGGGATATTCAGGTACAAGTGGTATTTTGGATCCATCTCCAGTGAGTGCTAAATTGCTCATACTAGCCTGAAATTTCGCCACTTGTCTTCCTATGAATTAAGGGGTTACCAAATGACCCACAGGCCTCCTTTCCCACCACCCTATTGAAATGAGGTTTAGCTATATAAAATATTTTTTAAATCATGGTTTTCAGTGTTTGATAGACTGTATACCTTCTAAATGCTGATACATTTCCACTAAAACAATATGCCAGCATCCACTGATTCAACGGGATCTTGAGCAATGCAAGACCCCAGCATCCTCATGCTTGCTAATCCATTTAATTAGTCTTCCGCACCCATACAAGCCAACCAGGAGACCACCAGACTAGGCAGAGACCCAGTGTAACTAGGTTTCCGTGGAAATCTACTTGTCTGCTGCTAGAACCATAATTGGAGACCACCTGAACTCTTAAGGCATTTTAGATTCATCACCATGAGTGAGGGTAGACATTGGTTTTGTGATGCTTCTTCACAGCAGAAAGATATTGTGCTCTAATGATTTTCTTTTTTGAAGTTTTGATAGTGCTATGTTTTAAGAAGATTTTTCGTCGTTGATTTATCCTATATGAAATTCAGTGCAGCACTCCATCTGCTGGCATTTAGAAGAACCATCAAGATTGTTTTGGCAATCAAGACTGCTTTTGAATGTTTAGCTTATTGATTGAGCTTGCAACAAATGGCCTACGAGCTGTCCCATTTAATTTTAGTGAAAACTTAATGAGAGTTGACCTTGCATGCTAATTAATATAATTCCCGCAGAGTTGGCTCCTTAATCTGTTTCCAGGCTATCTGTTTCAGATTACTTCAGAGTTGGGCATCAGTTGGAGGTGGAAACATGTATTGATTAAGAAAAAATTAACAATTAATCTTCGTTAAACAGAGGGAAACCAGATATTCAGTGGATGAACCTTGATCCTGTGCAGCTTCTAGATGAACTGGGACAATTTACGTCTTTGGATGGATTCAGGGAGATGCTTGACAAGGCTCAAGTAGGACATGCTTACGTGGATAGACCTTGCTTACAACCAGTTGACACGGAATGTCCTATGACTGCCCGAAACAAAAAATCACTGGAGGTGAGCCCTTTTATCATAAGCTTTCATACCTTTTGTCTTGAGGTAAACTTTGGCCTTCAGCACTTCCAAGGAATAATATGGAAATTTGGGCTCAGCTCAAGTGCACAATATAGTACAAAATGCAAAAGAGCAGAATTTACCTTATTGTTTGTGACAATTAGGGCTGGTGTATCTTTCAGTTGCAGAGGATTCCAGTATTCAGCATAACCTTCATTCAGTTAAGGTGTTATATTAAGAGGCCAAATGAAATTTGTTAGTGTTATTAACTTTTCAGTTCTTGACCCTTGGTTTTTGAATCTAGACAAGAATGACAGAGTATAAATTTCTTTCTAATAATGGTTTTGACCCAATGTTTGAAACAGTCTAAACCTAGTTAGTTTGGGTATTTGGATAAACCTGCACAATTTGGCAGTTGTGGGCAAAATTATCCATTCTGCATTAAATACTTAGTGAAAGTGCCCATAAGAAGTATTGGGATAGGAAGTTAGAACTCTCCAAAGACAGAGATGATTGTAATCAAGGTGACGCACTAGCTATAGGTTAATGGTCAGCATGCTAGGTATCTACATATATTTTGCAAAGAAGTAGTGGTATCTTCCTTTTCATCGGACTCTCCACTTGAAATTAGACCTTGCTACTTTAGTTGGAACAATGAAAGGTCACAAGTTAACCAAGTATGAATTAAGCATATCTTTTACATTGTTACAGGCTCCTAATATTCCTATAGAATTAACTGGAGGCTGCCATGGATTCTCAAAGAAGTTTATGCATTGGCAAGAGGAGCTGATTTTGGGTGGTATGAAGAAGGATGCCCAGAATGTATTATTGAGGTAAGGCGAGAGGGAAAAGGAAAACGAAAGGAGTTAGAATTTGCTGTAAGGGGCACCATTAGGTAGAAGTCTGAAGCTGCAATTTGATTCCAAAACCAGGCTGATTATATGGAATAGGCCAAGCAGCCTGCTATGTTCATCCGGCTCTACACCTTGTTATCTCAGATTCTCCAGCATCGGCTAACTCTGATTATATGGAAGTCACTCTTCTGCCTTAAGAGACTAGTAAGTACAACAGAAATTAATTTCCATTGGGCATCTTTAGCAGAACTCTCCCCAAAAATAAATGTGAGCCATTTATTCACGGTTATCTATGGCTTTCCTGCTAAAGTTACAGTGGGTGATTAGAAACCCACCCTCCCTCTATTTTCGATCTCCCTCCACTCTGAAAGATTTTACCACCCAGTGAATTGAGGGGGGTCCTGAGCCTGCAGTAGAAAACCATCTCTAATTGGCTGAAAATTACTACTCCTGGGGACCCAGTCAGCAAGGCTGCATGGGTGAGAAAAGTGAGAAAGTATATTTCATGGTCTGCAAGTAGATGTTCGTTTGAAGTTGCAAAGTAAGGTACAGTATTTCTGGAATAGTTTAGTGCTCAGCTTTGCAGCTAATCTGTGAAACAAGATGCTGAGAGATGGTCAACATCAGCATTCTGATTCACTGAAACATGGCCCTTTGTTTGCAGAATGAAGCCACATTGCTGTTTCAGGTTAATTATATAATGACTTGAATCTCAAGATGACTATCAATCCAAGGGAAGACGTGTGCTTTACAAATTAAGGTTAAAATGTGTACATGCCATTGATGGGTGGTTCAGGCTGGCACAGTCTCAGTTGCCAGGCTATTCATTGGTCAGAACTGCCTCTGGGGTACTAGCCCCACTGTGAAATAGCCTGAGGAACATGCCACTTGGAAACTAACTGATTAGAAATAGCCAGCTGGTTGCCTCATTACACAAACCCAGAATTATTATTTCTCTTAATGGCGGGCTTGTTTTGTTTTGGTCCCGAGTGGTTTTGAAAGGGTTAAAGTCTAAGTCAGGCTGATTTGCCTTCCCGTAACCACATTGCAAAGGAATTCCTTGCAAGGGTAATCACTGCTGCCCTTTGACCTGATCTCTGGAGTAGCCAGCTGCAGTAAGTCGATGGTCATATAATCCTGCCTCTTACATCACTCTTTCAATCTTAAAAGAGCAAGCCTCACCATCAGTCTGTTTTAAAGAAGGAGGGTCTTGTCATTGAAACCCTTGTTTGAAAAAGCAGCTTTATCATCAGGAATCATTTTAAAATAAAGAATCACATCTCTGGGTTTTCCTTCCAAAGGAGCATTATCACCAATATAATTTATATTAAAAATGTCAAACTATTTCAAAGAAATATTGTTAATTTTAACATCCTTCTGCCTCTTTGTTTCTGAGTGTAAATAATGTCTTTAGAAGAGCTATGGTAAAGAGGCAATGCAGAAGCTACATTGATAGAAGTAAAGATGTATGGCCTGAAATTTTAGGATTCCCATTCCAGCACCACATGGAGTGCAGTGTAGGTAGAAATCCCTTGTTGCCTGTCCCCAAAGACATAAAGGCCAATTGATATTGTGAGGAATGGGATCATCTCAATGGTCAGAACACTGGGAGCTGTGAGAGGCTTCATCAGCACCTGTCTGTATTGGCCTCATATGTTTCTCCGAGATCTTGTCAGGTTCCTGTACTGAGAAAAAGAGCTTGTCAAAAAAACTCCTTCAGCTCTAGTGGGTGTCTTTTTCTCACTTTAGAGAAGTTGTTAACGCTTCTGCGTTTGCAAATGTTATTGACCCTGTGGGATTGAGAAAGGATATTGATCTCCTTTGGGTTTGGAAAAGCCTCTTAAGTCCCCTCTAGAATTAGGCAAAGACCTTAGATCTCTTTGGGATTGAAAAAGTTCGTTGTTAACCTCTGGGATTTACTCAGGTGCGCTTTGGATCTTGCCACAGTGGTCATTTCAATTCAACTGTTTCCATTGCAGTCTTCAGGAATCCTCAACAAGACACTATTCCATAAGGGAATCAAAAGTTATGAGGATAAGACAGGAAAGTGAAATTAAGGAGTAACAGATCAGCCATGATTTCATTGAATGGAGGAGCAGACTCAATGGTTTGAATGGCTTACTTCTGTTCTGAAATCGTATGGCTGCCGTCATTCCCCAATATTAGGTCTAGATGTGTAGATTGGATTGAAATTTGGGCCAGGTGACCTGGGAAGAGTTGAGGAGGCTGCTGAATTCCGAGGTGAACTGAGCAGAAAGCCTGCCTCAGGCTGCAGCCCCGAGTCCAAAAATTAAAAAAAAATATGAATGAGATATAAAACATTCCTCTAGCCCTCATACCACCTTCTCATTTTGGCTCACCACCTTACACTACCCATGCCCCACCCATACCATCTGATGCCCCTCTACCCATCCTTGATGGTCCTTCATACTCCCTATGCCCATCTACCTATACCCCATGTCTCCTCTTACACTCATGCCAACATAGTGTCTACTTAAAGTCACCACACTTTCCATCTTCACCTACACATGCCAAAATGAAGTATTTAAATTCCTCTCTGGCCACAGGAGAGGGGCCAGAGGACTGGAGGACAGATAATGTGGTTCCACTGTCAAGAAGGGTGGCAGGGATAAACCAAGGAGTTACAGACCAGTGAGTCTCACTTCAGTGGTAGGGAAACTGTTGGAGAAAATTTTGAAGGAGAGAATTAATCTTCACTTGGAGAGGCAAGGATTGATCAGGAATAGTCAGCGTGGGTTTGTTAGAGGAATGTCTCGGGGAGGTGGTGGTAGTGCATGACTTAAAATTACAATGTTTTCCCCCATTTTTGCACAATGGAGATGTTCTTCCTAGTGGTGTGAATCTGGGCCTTAAAAGTTTCATGTCATCGAATGTTGCCTGATATACTAGTTATGTCCAGCATTTTTTTGTTTTAATTTCACTTAATTACCATCTGTGCTCAATATTATAACAGAATGGAGGATAGAAAAGATGATTACATAATTTTAAAAATACTTCTATAACTCCCTTAAGTTTTAACAGAAAATCGTGCCTGTGAAATTCTCTTTTTGAGGACAACTGTCACTTTTGACGAATGTTAATTGGTATTACCCAAAATATTATTTTGCATCCATTATTAATTAATGGAAATCATTATTTTTAATGCAGTCAGTCGAAATTTAGTTTTGCAGTGACATGAAATGTCACTTCTGTAAAACACTGACAGAACTGGTAATTTACTAGTTTGGAGCTTCTTGTACAATCCCATCAGTTTCTGTCTTCTTGGACTAATCAAAGGTTACCATTTTACATCTTCCAGCAACCTCTTCAAAAAAGGCACTGGTAGAAATTGGCAGCTAATCTTCCTATCTAACTCTATGACTATCTGGGGAGTAGTGTTTAATTCTAGAAAGAGGGAACCCTAAAGGCGGCACAACAGATCATTTCAAATTATATAAACAAAATATTTCTGGTCACTAAAAGATTGAATGGAATGCAATTCTAATACTTTTGATCCTGTTTCTCCATCTATCTAAAACCAAGCTAAAATGAACGAGAGTACAGCAAAGTTGGTACTTTGCCCGGAAATATGACCTGGGAAATCTCCATGGATATGGTACAATCCCTTTAAACAGGCCGTGAATGACTTGGAAGCATTACTTTGTGATATGATTTATGATATCCTAGTTTTGCACTTTTGAATTATGATTGTCAATGTGCCAAGCAACAGGCTGCCCAGTAGCTGAAAGCACAAACTGAATTTGCACATGCAACCCTGCATTTTCCATGATGGAACTGCCAGCAAATGATGATATTATTAGGAGATTGGGAGGAATTCTACTGTTCTGACCCATCATCTCTCAAGGCTGTTATAGGCTACCTGACCTAAGTCTAATGTTTCAGACTTAGTACATGAAAATGTGATTAAATAACATGTAAAAAAAAGCCACAGTGGATGATTAAGCACAGGACCCATCAAAACTGAGCTTGTTGAGAAGAAGAAAATTCAGGAATCTTTTAACTTTTAACTTAACAGCTATAAATTAATCTTCCCTAAAATACTTTCTGTCCACACTCGTTTGTTTACCTTGACCATTTTTTCTCCTCCCATTTCCTCCTTCCTCGAGCGCAGTATTGTGGGTAACAGGCATCCTCCAATATCTCCTTTAGTTAACCATTAATCATATAAACTAGACCTGATATTGAACATCAGTCACCTAATCAACTATGGTTCACCTTGATCACAATTAGGTGCTAGCTGAGTTCCCAACATGGCCCATCAATGTTAAGGTTAATTGTCTATTCCTGTCTGTGCTGAGATTAACCAACCCAAAGCTCCCAGAGTATGTTTAACATGATTACGCACTGAAAAGCCCCACTGAACCATTTGCAATGCTTCACAATTAACCTTGCAACACCATTAATTTTCAAATCATTTGAAATTGTCCTTTTGTTTTCCCTCTTATCCTGATTGTTGATAGCATACAGTTCCACAGAGATTAAGAGCAACCCTGTACATTGATCAAGGTGCAAATTGCCGTGTAAAAATGTCAACAGGCTGGTTGATTGTGGAGATTTTCACAGCCATGCTTATTCCTGCTGTCATCTGACATCCATGCTTTGAGCAGATATCACTGGCCAGGAATCAGGAGTCGGAACTGAGCTTCTGTTTCTGTCCCAGATGATATGGGCTGCCTGAACACAGACCATGTGGGATGTCTGGGCTAAGTACCTGTGTGCTTGTGTGTGTGTGTGCTTGTGTATGTGTGGTCATTTTTTTCTTGATTTTGCCATTCCAAATATCCTGAGCAAAGAGTGCAGGATAATTAATCTACATTTTACCCTTCTATAACTGAGCGAGTAAAAGCATCCATACAAGTGACTGTTAGCACAGTCTTTTTTCCCCATCCTAGATGGAAGCATGTTGATGACTCCATCCCACCCCATATGGTACAGAACACTGTGAGTGGGCATATTCTATCATGTTCGAACTCCCATACACTGTTACCAAAGTGTTCCAACAAAAGTTCAATTGCTTGCCTATAAGGACAGCTTGCCTCTGAAATAAAAAAATTGTTTACATTGTCATTACTAATAGATAGATCATAGAATTCCACAGTCTCCCCAATCGTACAGTTTTCATTTTAAAGATTTTCTAATTTACTTTGACCTAGCATTAAATTTTACAATTTAAAATACTTCGTTTGGTCATGAAAGTTCTTTGCAATATTCTGAAGGCTCAAAAGGTGCTATAGAATTACAAGTTTTCCTTTTTATATGTTTATTAAATACACTTTTTGTTTATCCCTTTGTTTCTTTACTGAAGTGCTGAAGCTCTCCAGACCATGTATCTACTGATGAGCCCCAAGCAACTTTATGAACATTTCAAGGATGATTATGAGATCCATGATATCAACTGGAACCAGGAAAAGGCAACAGCTATTCTGGAAAGCTGGCAGCGGAAGTTCGTAGAGGTATTCTTCAGTGTTCTGTTTTTTGTTTTTACTTTGGACTGATACAGCATAGCAGGGTAAATGGAGCATTGATTGAACTGATTCCACAAATAAGGACTTCATCCTGCTTGAAGAGGAAGGGGGCAGAAGCAATGGAGACAACTCAATGGTTCCTTCAACCTTAATGATAAAGACATCACAAACACATCACAAACAGCTTTGTTATCTTATTCTAATGCGTCCACAGTAAGCAGCCTGAGTTGTAACTGATTGGTCGTTGATCTACACACTCCTGTATGTGAATCAAAAACAATATCACAAATAGACTGGTTATTGTCCGTAGCTGGTTAATTGTAAAGATAACCCCTGAGACTATGCATCATTCACCAGCACTTTGAAGCAGCTCCACTGGGAATGTTGAGAACAATGAGTGGAATGATAATAACAACAACAACAAATTATATTCGTGGAACCTCTTTAACCCATAAACCGTCCCAATTTTACTTCACAGGAGTGTTACAAGACCAAGTACAAAGCTGAGCCACATAAGGAGATATTAAGTCAGATCAGCAAAAACTTCTCCAAAGAGGTCAGTTTGAGTGCCTTGAAGGAACAAAGTGAGGTAGAGAGGCAGAGATGTATTTGGGGTAAGGTGTATTCTAGAGCTGATAGGCAAAGAATTTGACTAACAGCCACCACTATTGGGCATTTCAAATCAGGGATGTATAAGACACCAGCAGTAGAGGAGCACCCATATTTCACAAGGATTTGGGCTTAAAGAAAATGCAGATGTAGGGAGTGTCATGGTTGTGGAGAGACTTGAAAACATGGATGATAATTTTAAAATATTGCTTGACTGGGAGTCAGTGTATGTCAGTGAGGGCAGTGATGATAGGGGAATGGGACTAGGCATGAATCAAAATGTGGAGATCAGAGTTTTGGAGGACTTCAAGCTTCCAATGAGTACCATGTAGGAGACCGGCCAGAATGGATAAGCGACCATAACATGATAGAATTCTTTATCAAGGTGGAGAGTGAGGTAGTTGATTCGGAAACTAGGGTGGTGAATCTTAAGAAAGGAAACTATGAAGATATGAGGCATGAGTTGGCCTTGATAAATTGGGGACAGTTACTTAAAAGGATGACAGTGGATAGGCAATGGCAAACATTCAAGAAATGCTTGGGGAAACTGCAACAACTGTTTTTTCCAGTCTGGCACAAAAGCAAAATGGGTAAGAGGGCCAATCCATGGCTTACAAAGGAAATTAGAGATAGTATCCAATCCAAGGAAGAAGCATGCAGATCGACCAAGAAAAGTAATATGTCTGAGGATTGGGAGCAGTTTAGAATTCAGCAAAGGAGGACCAAGAGGTTGATTAAGAAGGGAAAAATACAGTACCAAAGTAAGCTTACTTACAAAGACTGACACTAAGAGTTTCTATAGGTACATGAAGAGAAAGAGATTGGTGAAGATAAATGTAGGTCCCCTACAGACAGAAACGGGGAATGTGTAATAGGAAACAATGAAATGGCTGAGCAGCTGAATATATACTTTGGTTCTGTCTTCACAAAAGAGGACACAAATCAGATACCAGAAATGTTGGAGAATGCAAAGTTTATAAAGAGGGAAGAATTGAGGGAGATCAATATTAGTAGAGTAATGGTGCTGGGAAAATTGATGAAATTGAAGGCAGATAAATCCCCAGGGCCTGATAATCTACATCCCACAGTACTAAAGGAAGTGGGTCTAGAAATGATGAATGCATTGATGGTCATCTTCCACGATTCTGTAAACTCTGGAACAGACCCTGCAGATTGGAGGGTGGCTAATGTCACTCCAATATTCAAAAAGGGCAGTAGAGAGAAGAAAACAGGGAATTATAGACTAGTAAACCTAACATCGATAATGGGGAAAATTCTTGAATCCATTATTGAGGACTTTATAGCAGAGCATTTAGAATGCAGTGGCAAGATCAGACAGAGTCAGCACAGATTTATGAAGGGGAAATCATGCTTGTCAAATATGTTTAAATTCTATGAAAATATAACTAATAGAGTTGACAAGGGGTAGCCAGTTGATGTGGTATATTTGCACTTTCAGAAAGTGTTTGACACAGTCCTGCATAAGAGATTATTGTGCATGATTAAAGCACATGGGATTGGGGTATGTGTATTTAGATGAATAGAAAACTGGTTGGCAGAGAGGAAACAAAGCGTGGGAATTAATAGGTCCTTTTCAATATGGCAGGCAGTAACTAGTGGGGTGCCACAGGGATCGGTGCTGGGATCCCAGCTATTCACAATATGTATTAATAATTTGGATGAAGGAACAAAATGTAACATCTTAAAGTTTGCAGATGATATCACGTTGGGTGGGAGGGTGGACTGTGACGAGGATGCAGAGATCCTTCAGCATGATCTTGGACATGTTAGTTGAGTGGGCAAATCAATGGCAGATTCAGTATAATTTGGACAAATGTGAGTTTGTTCATTTTGGAAGCAAAAACAAGAAGGCAGATTACAACTTGAATGGCTGTAGATTGGGAGATGGGAGTGTGCAGCGGGACCTGGGTGTCCTTGTGTACCAGTCGCTGAAGGTAAGCATGCAGATGCAGCAGGCGGTAAAGAAGGTAAATGGTATGTTGGCCTTCATTGTGAGAAGTTTTAGGTTTTGAGTACAGGAGCAGGGATGTGTTGTTGCAGTTATACAGGGCCTTGGTGAGACCACACCTGGAATATTGTGTGCAGTTTTGGTCTCCTTTTCTGAGGAAGGATGCTCTTGCTCTCGAGGGAGTGCAGCGAAGGTTCACCAGGCTGATTTCAGGGATGGCAGGACTGACGTATGAGGAGAGATTGATTGGATTAGGATCTGTTTTTGCTGGAGTTCAGATGAATGAGGGGGGATCTCATAGATACTTATAAAATTCTAACAGGACTGGACAGGATAGATGCAGGGAGGATGTTCCCGATGGTGGGTGTGACCAGAACTAGGGGTCACAGTCTGAGGATTCAGGGTAGACCATTTAGGATGGAGATGAGGAGCTATTTCTTCACCCAAAGAGTGGTGAGCCTGTAGAATTCATTACCACAGGAAGTAGTTGATGCCAAAACATTGAATATATTCAAGAGGTGGCTAGATACAGCATTTGGGGTGAATGAGATCATAGGTTGTGGGGAGAAGGCAGGATTAGGCAGTTGAGTTGGATAATTAGCCATGATCAGATGAATGGCAGAGGAGGCTCGAAGAGCTGAATGGCCTCCCCCTACTCCTATCTTCTATGTTTCTATGGCATTGAAATAGTCAAGACTAAGAATAATAAATGCCATCTTTCAACAGCAGATGAGCTGAGACAGTGGAAATAGATGGTCTGTGTGCAAAATAGAACAACATGAAAGCATTGTGTTAATCTTTTATGGTTAATGTTGAGCAGTTAATCAGAAGGAGGTTCTGAGAGGTTATTTATAAGTCATTTAAAATACCGTTGACTGCTAAGAAGTTCTGTTCAACATAACATTATGGATTGTAAATCAGCAGAACACATCAGGAATTGCTATCTCGACATATTGTTCAGTCAGTTAGTGTGATCATTTGGCTACCAGCCAAACCAACAGAATAATAGGATTTCACAACTATGGCAGACAGTGTGTATGTGGCTGTAATTTAATCCGAGGATTTATATGATGTCCATAAAGTACTGAAACATTGCTTTTAAAGACCCCTTAGATTAAATTATAGTTATAGGCTGTTACTCATTGCCACCCATCCACTGCTCTGTATCTAATTGTGTCAGAAAAGTTAAATATTTGACTGAAATATTTCAAATATTCAAAGTTGGAAGTTAATTTTTGAAGAAGTAATTTGCGTGGATGAGGGATGTATTTATCAACATGGATTTTGAAGAAATTGTTGATTAAGTGACATATCAGAGATGTGTCAGAATTAGGTTAAATTAACTCTAGTCCCTAACTCTGTATGTTCCAGAGATCTGTGTGAATGAGTTATTTTGTTTTTCACATGTATAAATGATTTGGACAAATTCACAAAAAGTACAATGAAGATTACTGATGGTATTAAATTAGTGGTTATGGCAAAAAATAGTGAGGTCCATTGCAGGAGGATGTAGATGACTGACAGCTCTCCATCAGTGCCAATAAATGGGAAATACAGTGAAAAGAAATTTACAGCAAATAATTAGGATTTTGAATAGGCTGGATAGGTGTTTCCTCTTAATGGCGGAGTCCATTCGTGACTTAGAATGAGTCCCAGTGTGGAAATATGGCCAGGAGTATGGTGGTGAGTGGAATATCCCTCCAATCCTCCTCGGACAGATACAGGAAAATCCAGCTCAGGAATTCATTGGATCACGGGAGTGTTTCACCAGAAATGGCTAATGAGAGGAATTCTATAAATCCTTTGCATTTGTGAAAGTGGCTTACTGGTAATATCATTTGACTAGTAATCTGGGACTCTAGGCTAGTACTGTGGGGACATGTATTTGAATTCCACCTTGGCAAATGGTGAAATTTGAATTCACTAAAAATCTAGAACAAGAAGCTGGCTTAATGGTGACTTTGTGACCATGACGATTGTTGTAAAATCCTATCTGGTTCACTAATGCCCTTTGCGGGTGGAAATCTGTCCTCCTTACTGAGCTGTAGTCCAGAGAATTTCACTAGAGTAAGTCAACCAAGGTTTTCCATTGCTGATTCCTATCAACTGTATAAATATGGCGAGGACAAAGCTGTACTTGAGCTCCATGATGGAATTGATTCCTGGTCCTCATTGATTGGGCTCAAATATGACCTTTCCAGCAAGATATCATTTCAGTGCCTCCAAGTGAAGAGTCTCAAACAGAAAAGGAAAAAAATAAAAGAAATCCATAAACAGTAGTTCCATAAATGTCTAACATAGGTTTAAAATGTGTAAAGCAAACTTAATTAAGTGAAAAATTGGCCTTATTGAAGTTATTCTTAATGTGTGGGCTTTTATCAGTATAAAAATGTGGCACACAGGAAGCCATGTCAGCACATTTCAGAAACACTTCAAACCACCAGGAGTTCACCTTTGTGCACAGTACAACTAATGATAATGTTGATGTTGAGCACAATAAAAGTAAGTAGTTAGCTCAGAGAGTACAAGATTGAACAAACAGCTTGGCTCAGTTTAATAAGCACCTCTAAATAAGTTTCAGGGTTTCATTTCTATGGGAAAATATTTTACAGATTTTTCAAAAATAATATGTAAAACAAACATGCTTTTCTCCTTTTTTTTACTTCCATTGGATTCATTCCAGTGTGTGCGGGAGAATTGTTTCTGTAAATGCTGGAATTACTTATCAGGCTGATTTCCATCAATCTGCAGCTGTATTGTACATGGAGTCAGATTCTGGGCTTCTGACAGATGGAGAGTTATGGGAACAAGCTGTTTGGTGATAACTGACACCCAGATGCTGATTGCAAGAGGACCTGAGGCCTGTGGCATGCCTGCTTGGAAAGGCAATTGGGTTGTGATAGGATGAATAACAAACGGGGAAGATGTTTCACTGAATCCCAAGGTTGTAGTCGTTATTTTTTGCTGTGGCAGCTTAGGTGGTGAATGACAGGAACTTGGCTTTCTCTAGAGACCATGTGATCTCACCTGACCTTTGACCATAATGATCCTCAGCATCTGCAATCATTATTCTAAGCTGTCAAGTCTCAAACATAATGTATTTTAATGAAATACCGGTTTAAAAGGAGCACACCAAGAAAAAGGGATGGATTGCCAAATTTGAATTTGGATAAACCCTGTAAAACAAATTGATAGCTCCATGACATACTCGAAGTTTATGTTTCCTCTATTGACAAGACATGATAACTGAAGAAAACTAGAAGAAGCTCCACAGGAATGTGGAATATTCTGATTTTCTTCCAAAATACTAAATTCAAATTCAAATCTTCTCCAACAGTTTGCTGAAATCAAAAGGACCTAGTAATATTCATTAGTAACTTAAATAGCTTCAGCCCTCTGAATGAAGTTTTTATTCACGCATTCTAAAGTTTTTTGTTTAAATTGAATTATTCTTCCCGGCTACTCATTCCTGTCTCCCCATATCTTACTTGTCTTATTCAAGAACTGGCTCCAAGCCATTGCAAGTTGATCTCTTGAGTAGTCAGCAAACAGCCTACAAGACTGATTCAAAGAAGACATTTTCAGTTAATTTCTGTCTCATAATGGCCCAGTTGATTCTGGGAATTCAGAGGAGTGTAGTAAATAACCCTATGCTGATCTTCCAAAGTGCTGATTGAGTGTGGAAAAGGCTTAAATACAGTCTGTTTAACTGAAGGAATCCATGAATATTTGTTCTCAACATTTTTCGGTAATTGGTTCCATTATTTGAAACTTTTATGCAAATAAGATCCTTTAAAAATAAGCAAAAGTACAGGTAACTGCACTCTTGTGGCAAGGAGTGTGCAGTTGTTAAAGTCTCGATTCTACACAATGATGCTCCCAGCAATATTTTGAGAGACCAGGCTGGAAAGATTGATTATTTAAAAGAATTTTTGTATGGTTGGTGTGGACATTTCTTTTGGAACATGACTGTTCTCCACCAGCTTACTGATGTCAAAAACTGTGAGTCACCATCAATGCTCTTGAAAATCCATTCCAGTTCTACAATGATTAAGTTGGTAGATGCAGTGTGCATATTTTACTGAGCCATGTAGAGCAGCAAGGTACCCACGTTGATCCATGGCCTGTTTTTGAGCTATCAGTGTCACCCATGGTAGCAGCGATTGTGTTGCAAGAGCCCCAGGGTCTTGCTTTTGAGAGAATGTTGGCAAGCTGTTCTCTCGTCCTCACCACACATCCACACATGGACATCTTTCAACTTGAGCCTTTGTACTGCAGTCAGTAGTGGGAATGCCAGCTGACTTTGTTCTCCTTCTGAACCAGAACATTGGGGTCAATTTAGCATATCAACTCCTACCCTGGTTTAGATCAGCCAACTCACCAGAGACCAGTAATCAACTCTGGAACCTTCTGCTGCATATGGCTCAGCTATGCAATTCCATACCGCCTAACACTCAAGGTAGCTCTTTGCTCGTCAGGGAGCAATTATGAATTGTCGTATTTTAGAAGAATAAACCTTACTACCAAGTAGTGAAGTAATACTGCTGTGTTTAGCTTCACATTTGATTTTTTTCTGGTAGGTAGTGCATCAGGTGGTGCCTCAGAATTCCTCTCAAAATATCCACGCCTTTTCTACCACCACCCTTAATGACATCATGAAGTCTTTTTCAGATGTCAGTGGCATTCGAATTGCTGGAGGATACTTGCTAATGGTAAGCACCTTTTTACTTCTTTAATATTAATGTCAATTCTGAATGTAATGCTGTAAAAAACTAAAACTCATAGTGGCTCAAGGGTTAGCACTGCTGCCTTGCAGCACTAGGGACCTGGGTTTGATTCCAGCTTTGAGCAACCTATTGTGTGGAGTTATGCATGTTCTCTCCGTGTTTGCGTGGTATGTTCTGGTTTCTTCCCACAGTCCAGAGGTGTTCAGGTTAGGTGGATTGGCCGTGCCACATTGCCCTGTAGTGACCAGGGATGTATGTGCAAGGTGGGTTAGCCGTGGGAAGTATGGGGTTACGAGGATGTAGTGGTCTGAGTGGGATGCTCGTCAGTGCAGACCCAAATGGCCTATATCTGCACGGTAAGGATTCAACTTCCACTGATGCAGTGTGGGTTTCAGTTTATCTCAGATTGATAATGTTAGGAGAATACTCAACAGTTGAGGGGACATCATTCGTCATTTATCAACATCATCTGACCCTTCAGATTTGTAGCATTCTTAAAATGCAGCCTCATCTTGGTATTTTCCTTTAGCAATATATTCACATTTCGTTTGTGCCGTCTCCCTGGCTCAACTTCACATTATAAATTCCAATATCCATTTTCTTCTGGTGGAATTACATACTTTGGCTGGTATTGGGCCTGCAGTGCCTTATTTTTCCATCACCAACCCCTGAGCCTGTACTTCAGAGCACAGTGCTTACACGTTGTTATTTAATTGAATCATAGAGTTGAAGTACTTATATGCAATAGTCGTTTTTAGTACTTGGGAGTAATGCTGAAAAAAAGATGTATTTTATCAAAGCTTCTCATGTATTCATCAAGAAATATCTGTTCTGTGAATCGTCCTGAGAAGTGCAAGAGGAAAAGCTTTGAGAACATGTGACTTTTTTCAGTAATACTTTAAAATGATGACTGAACTTTGTCAGTGTGTCCTGATCCAATTGTCCCCTACTCAGTAACCAGTTTCACTTTGGGCTTGACTTTTCATGTGTCACATATGGGAAATTGGCTAGTTTTATATAGCTCAGGATCATGGATATAATTTTAAAGAAAGAAAAAAATTGCATTAACGGAGCAATTTCATGATGCCAGTGTATCCCAAAGTACTTGTCATCAGCATCCTTATTTAAAAATGGACATGATGCCAGTCGCATTGTGCACTTTTATCCCAAAGTGCTTGACAGCCAGCTAATTACTTAGAGGTGTAGCCATTCTTGTTTTATATGCAAAGCTGACAGCCAATCTCCATACAGTTAGGCATCGCTAACAGCACATGAACAAAGTAATCTGGTTGAGAGAAAAATATTGATAAAGGCACAGGGAGAGCTCGTTTCACTTTTCATTACCGTAAGGTGTGAGTGGTAGGGCCTCAATTTGCTGTCAGCATAGAATCATCATAGAAAGAGGCCATTTGACCCACTGAGACTGCACCAACCCTTTGAAGAGCATTCCATTCAGACCCCACCCGAGCCCGTAACTCTGCATTTACCGTGGCTAATATTGCGTAGCCTGCGTATCTACAGACAGCATGGCCAGTCCACGTAACCTATACATCTTTGAACTGTGGGAGGAAACCGGAGCAACCATGGAAACCCACACAGACACAGGCAGAATATCATAATAATATCTTCAACAGTACAGTACATGCTCAATGCTGCATTAAAGTGCCAATGTAGATTACATGCTTGATTCCATGAGCGATGTTAAAAGCCCCAGTGACTGACCTTGCTGCTCAGAGGTATGAATGCTATTACAGTGCCACAAGAGCCTTGTCCCGGTAGCTTTGATATTCTATGTTAAACAAGATATTTGTTTAACGGCAATCAGATGGAAGAATCTAACCTGTTTACACTTGGAGCAATAGTGTGCGATCCAATTTGAATTCCAGTGACATTGAAAGAATTTGTAATTTCAATCTCCGGACATTCCAAAGTGTATCACAGCCACTTTTGCACCATGGTCATCTGGGACGCTGATTCCCTACCAGTTCTCTCCACAGATCTCTGACTGATTGATGTTTGTTTCCAGTTTGTGTTTTTGTTTTATTCTTTGCTTGTTGTATGCTGATCTTTCTTTTCTGACTCCATTAGTTGGCATATGCTTGTGTGACCATGCTGAGGTGGGACTGCTCGAAATCCCAAGGGGCTGTGGGACTAGCTGGAGTCCTTTTGGTGGCATTGTCAGTTGCTTCAGGACTTGGGCTGTGTTCACTCCTGGGCATATCCTTCAATGCTGCAACCACCCAGGTATATAATTCAATCTCTCACTCTTTCCCTTCCCTGGATCACTGCCTAATATTACTTAACAAAGTTAATTATTACTTTTGCAGGGGGGGAGGAAAGTCAGCTGCTTACGACTTTAAAAGAATTAAGTGAATTTTATGCATAATAGATTTGTATGTAATACTAAATGTCAGGTTGTGCCATGGGATCAGTCCTGGGCCTTAATTATTTACAATCCATATTAATAACTTGGATGAAGGTGCCATGTGTGTCATATCCACATTTGCTGATGGGTAGGGAAGTAACTTGGGAAGAGGATAGAAAATATCTTCAAAGTTACACATGCACTTTAAGTAAGTAGGCAAAAACTTGGCAGATGGAATATAAAATGGGAAAATATGAGGTTGTCTACTTTGGCACAGATAACATGCATGTGCAGCATGTAATTGGGTAGTCAAATGGAATGTTGGTGTTTATTGCAAGGGAGGTAGAGTATAAAAGTGTGGAAATTTTGCTAAAACTTTAAAGGACATTGCTGAGACCACATCTGGAGTGTATGTACAGTCTGCTCTCCCTCATTTGGAAAAGATATGCTTGCATTGGAAGCAGTTCAGACCAGGGTCAGTGGGCTGAATCCTAGGATGAAAGGGTTGGATTATCAGGAAAGTGTGAGTAGGTTGAGCCTATATTCATTGGAGTTTACAAAAATGAGAAATAATTTTATTGAAACATACAAGATTCTGAGGGGGCTTGGTAAAGTACACCCTGTGAGGATGTTTCCCCTTGTGAGGGGAATCCAGAACTCAGGAAAACACAGTTTAAAGAAAAGGTCCACCCACTTCAGATAGAGATGAGATGGAATTTCTTTTTTCAGACAGTCATTAGTTATTGCAGTTCCCTTCCCCAGAGAGTAGCAGAGGCTGAATTATTGAATATATTAAAGGTTGGGTTAGGTAGATTTTTGACTGACAAGGGAACTAATGTTTATTGTGGTTAGACAGGAGAGTGGAATTAAGGCCTCGATCATGTAGATCAGCAATGATCCTATTAAATGCCATAGCAGGCTGAAATGCAGAATAGCTTCCTCCTTTTTCTATTTCTTATGATCTTATTTCTTTCCATTTCTTGGATCTAGGTATTACCATTTCTGGCTCTGGGTATTGGCGTCGATGACATGTTTCTCCTGGCTCACGCATTCACTGAGACTGGTCAAAATAAGAACATTCCTTTCAAGGTGAATGCAAATCTGCTTAGAATGTGGATACTATAGTTCTTTACTCCTTTATTTTTATTACTGGGATGCTCAGAGTATATTATAGCAGGTTTTTTCAGAAAACATATTTCTTTATCAACAAGTTTGAATGGGTTGGTAATAGAAAAATTAGAGAATCAAACTTATTTATTGAAAATCAAGAGTACCTTTTATGTTAGCCTTGAAGAACTGCTTGTGCCATGGAGCTGACACATATCTTGCACACATAGAAGTGATTCTAATGTAAATATGTTGACTTAACATGACTTAGGAATGCCGAGTTAAAAAGTATTCTATCAAAAGCTCACAATTAGTGACTGTAGCAAATTCACATTGGGAATGTCGCTGGATTCCACATCCAAAATGAAAGCAACAAAGACTTCTGTCTTTGCGTGTGTCTTCATGTGTGTCATTCCTGTAAGTATTATCAAACTTATGCTGTTCAAAACTTTTATGACACTTTGTTCTGAACATTTTATTTTGTGCTACAGGACAGGACAGGAGAATGCTTGAGACGGACAGGGACCAGTGTTGCCCTCACGTCTATTAATAACATAATTGCTTTCTTCATGGCTGCTCTGATTCCCATTCCTGCACTTCGTGCTTTTTCCTTACAGGTAAGTGAATCATATACAGTGCCTGGATGGTTTAGAAAGTGCTCAGTATAAAGGCTGTGCCTTTTTGTAGAAATATTCAATCTATTTGTGTATTTATATTGTGGGGGAGGGATCTTGGTGAAGGGTAGAGGGGTGGAGATGAGGGTAGATTAGGGCTTTGAAATTCTTTTGCTCCAGGTGTTACACGCTCCTTTGAATTTATCTTCACCACCCCTGTTGCTTGCCTGCAGATGCCTGCTGCAGCAGGGGCTTAACTGTCTGGTAAACAACAAGGCAGTTTATCATTAGGTGTGTGAGAAAGGAGGGGTCTCACTTTTTGGATGTGAAGAGAAAAAAGGGCGAATTGATTGAAACCTTTGTGATTAAAAGAAAAAGTAGCAGTATTGCAGGACTGGCACGACATCAATATAAGTACTTGTTTTCCTTGGCAGTGCACAAGATTTGGAAGTTCACACATCTTTATCCAAATAAGAGCCTATCAAGAAAAGCAACATTCAGTATTTTTCCCCCCTTTTTGAATCCCTCTTCCTACAAAGCTAGCCATTTCTACGTGAGTAGATAAGATAATTGCAGCTTCCCAGGAGGTGTCTTTGGACAATCTGCTGGTTTTTGCAATTCCTTACTGCAGCAGTCTCTATAAAACAAATTGCCAATATTAATTTTTAAAACGTTTAACCTCATGGCAGCAAGAAGTAATTCCCTTTTGGAAACTGACTACTGCAGTTAAACTGTTAGCTAACCCAGTTGGAAGCTAATATAAAATACTCCATAGTTCACATATTTAATAATGTGATTTTAAAAAAGCATCCACAGACATGTTAAAAGTTAATGTTAAAACACTGAAACAAAAAATAAAATACTGTGGTTGCTGGAAATCTGAAACAAAACCAAAAATGTTGGAATCACACAGCAGGCCAGACAGCATCTATGAGAAACAAAGGTTGTTTCGGGTCAATGACCTTCCATAGAACTGGAAGCATTTATGAGGTGTAACCATTTCTAAGCAAATGCAACACCTCGAAAATATTGGGGAGGAAAGAGCAAATGGGAAGATGGGTGAAAGACAGGGGTGATTAACTGCAAAAGGGATGATGGTGCAAGACAAAAGGGGAAAGTAGTGGCACAAGTAAATAAAGAAAAGACGGATCCAGAGGAAGAATGAATGGTCACAGCAGAAACATTACTCGCTCTTGTTGTTTAAAGAAATGGGAGCAGTAGAATTGGTTTAAATGTTGTTGAACTCACATCTTTGAATCTGAACAGTTGAGTCTGTGGAAAGAGGTTAACTTGTTTGTAGGTTAGATATAAATCTGTTCTTTTGAAGAGCTGAGAAATCAATTTTTAAGAATTTGACATTCTCTAAATAAGATTTATGAACTATGAGATCCTTGTAGCATTGACATTTAAATTGGATTACTGTCTGTTTAGAGGGATTAGATGATGCTTTATTTTCCTTGGTAAAATTGCCTTTGAGAGGGGAACCGTTCAGGGGTATGATTACTGTCATATGGCAATCTGTAAACAAGAGGTGAGTTTCATTCACTTTTATAAAATGGTCTTTTTTGGAAATAAAGGCTAAGGAAAATGTCCTTAAATACTTACATAAAATTGAACTAAATTTCCATAAACAATTGTTTTCCTGTTCTATGTCACTAAATCAAAGTATTAGGTGTTAAATGCAGTTGCACTGAATATACTGCAGTCCTACTGGCTAACTTTAACTGGTGACTTGGCAAAGCCTGGGAGTCACTGGTTGAAAAAAAATACAATGGGAATTAAGTAGCAAGAACCTGACAGGCTTGAACACTGGGCCAGCCTTTAAACAGGCCTCCAACTTGCACAGCCAAGGTAGTTGGCATAAATGATGGGATATATCATCTACAAGTCAGTTTCAGCTATGTGATCTGCCTGAGCTTACTGGGTGGTCGGGGAGATAATAACATATTATAATGTCTGCCCCAGGCAACCCCACCCCCTCCTTTTTCACTTACATCAGACTGCTGTGACCTTAGGAGTCCCCTTCAGATTAATGTTTATCTAGAGGAGGGGGTGTGGAGAGGGGGGCATTTTTGGGGAGCAGCGATTTCTTGCTTGAAATCCTTTAGTGATTTAATATTTTCTTTGGCTTCGTACACGGATTTGGTGAGGTCTGGAAATCAGTTGTAGTACAACTCACTTAAAGCTAGAAATATCTTGGTTAGAAATCAGAAACTGCTGTTCCCTGAACTCTTTGCCTGAGGCCTAGTCCTACAGTGAAGCTATAGGTTTACAATTGTGCTCCTTTCGAATCTTAAAGGGACATTTAGCTGGTATTGCCAGACAGCGTAACAATTAAGTCAGCAAATCAAGAGTACTGTGTGCAATCAACACCAAAGGCATTTGACACAAAATAAATATACTTTGCTTGGAAAAGTGAGTAGCAGAAATAATGCCAGATGCAGTCTCTTTGCCAGTAAGGGGGCGCAGAAGTGGAGTTTTCATGGTGAGCTACTGATTTGCATCAAAAATGAAAGTCTCTCTCCTCATATCCCTGACCTGACTAATATCCAGAGCTTTTCACAGTTCAGGATTGACAAACGTTGAAATCTCAGCAGGTCTGGCAGGATCTGTAGAGGAGAAAACAGAGTTAACGTTTCGGGTCCGGTGACCCTTCCTCAGAACCGGGCCCGAAACGTTAACTCTGTTTTCTCCTCCACAGATGCTGCCAGACCTGCTGAGCTTTTCCAGCAATTTTGTTTTTGTTCCTGATTTACAGCATCCGCAGTTCTTTTGGTTTTTATTTAAGTGTTGAAATCTAACTGGCAGTCTGCAATTGTACTAGAACAGTACTAATATCTTCTGTTACTGTCCATCACAGGCTGCGATTGTGGTGGTGTTTAATTTTGCCATGGTGCTCCTCATCTTTCCTGCCATTTTAAGCCTGGATCTTCATCGGCGGGAAGACAAAAGGCTGGATATCTTTTGCTGCTTTTCTAGGTGAGGATTATTTTTAATGCAGGTATGATTGTTGTTCACTATGAGGGCTGCAGTGGGGGTCTAATGGAATGGATTATGAATGGGAAAGAATGGAAAGATGTAGGAATTTAAAGCTTTGCTTATCAAGACATGGCGGTGGTGAAATTGATCAATGTCAGTAGCGCAACTGGGCTAAGTGTAAAGCACCAACTCATTTCACACAACTCCCAATCATCTTTTTCATTGTACTTTCTGGCGCAGTACATGAACATGAACATAGAACATAGAACAGTACAGCACAGTACAGGCCCTTCGGCCCACGATGTTGTGCCGACCTATTATCCTACTAAGATCAATCTACCCTGCATACCCTACATTTTACTATCCTCCATGTGCCTATCCAAGAGTCGCTTAAAAGTCTCTAAAGTATCTGACTCCACTACCACTGCCGGCAGTGCATTCCACACACCCACCACTCTCTGTGTAAAGAGAGTGCTGGTGTGCTATTGTTTCACTATCAAATATTCTGCACTACGGTGTTCACAGTTTCGATCCAGTTAAGTTCCTCATGTTGAAGAGGTCAGCAGGGAAGGAGAGAAGGAAAAACCTGTAGAGGTGGAAAGTTCTCTTCATGTCTGATCCGTTAAATTCTTGGCCTACGTTGTATTCTTAATCCTTTAAATCACAGAATGGTACACAGTCATTTATGAATGCTGCCTCATTTTCTAATCAATAATCTCTCCAATAATTTCATGTCAGGAATGAATTCAGGGAATAGTTAGTAACCATTTGAGTTTGATTCGCATGTCTTATGAAGATGGCTGAGTTCCTCAGTAATACTACTAGATCATAATCACTTCCAGGCATGCATTGTTGCCGTTCAATGTTTTGTTATACATGAAAATGAATAATAACATTTATAGAATGGATTACATGTGAAAAAAATCTTTTATTTTTCAGTCTCTGCTCAACACGAGTGATTCAGGTCCGGCCACAAGAGTTTGCAGATGCAAATGATAACCATAACTTCCATCCTTCTCCATATGGTGGGCCAACATTTACCCACAGTACACAGATCACCACCACAGTGCAGGCCTTCACCCAGTGTGATCCCACTGGACAGCACATTGTCACCATAATTTCTCCAACTTCACGCATCTCTTCAACTCCTTCTATCATCGTGTCCCCAGCAGACCAGGTTGGCTCACAGGGGATGGAACCCACCAGTTCAACCAGGGACTTGCTGGCCCAGATGGATGAGGCAAAAGCCAGCAGGCACTGTGTTCAGATGCCCTTTGTCAAGTGGAATCTAGCAGACTTTGCACGGGACAAGTACGCTCCACTTCTTCTCAAGACAGAATCAAAGGTAAACAATTTTCAGCGACACTTCCTGTGTTTTTTTGTATTACTTTGATGATGATATCTTCTCACATTATCAACCCATGACTTTGGGCAAATACGCCGCACAATGTGGTAATTACTTACCTTTAGAGAAAAGAGGATGGCAGTTAGGATTTAGTTAACCTGAGTGTCACTGGTAGAAGATTCTTATTCTTAGTTACTATATTGTGGATCCCTTTTGGAAAGTAAGCATTGGGAATTTTGAATATGAGCAGTATTTGGCTCTACTGGAAAGATTTTCACATGAAAATTGCCTTTTCGGCAAGGCACTAGAAGCTTGTAGAATGATAACAGCCTTAGTCACTGCCTTCAGAGCAGGAGAAATAGGGAAGAAAATCAAACTAGAACAGTTTCCACTCTTAGATCAGGCAGTACCTACTCAGGTATTACTTGGGTCAAAAACAGCTTCAAACTTTCCTCATCTTTGACCCAAGAATGTGCCTTAATCCAAAGCCCAGAAGAGCTAACTTCATTGCTTCAAAGTGGCTTCTCTTGTATAAGACTTAGACTGTTATTTGAGTACCAATTTGCAGCCAGTAGTTGTATGCAGTGACCACAGGAACTGATTTGAAATTACCATTTACTGCACTGAGGACCAGCCACAGCCTGTAAATATGTCTTTCAGGATCTGGATTAAATATGATCCCATTAGCAAAAAGACTGTCCATGCTAACTAATTCCAACATGTCTTTGATTAAAAAGAAAAGTTATTATTACTGCTTTTTCACCCACCTCCAACTCGTTTTATTCCAATTTTCAACTGTTTGGGAACAGACTCCATCCAATGTTAATGCTCAGTTTGCAGCTTGAGAGCTGAACTCATGCTTCATTTTTACTTCCTTTCCTATCAAAGACCGAAATGAGGCAGCTGATACTTCAGGGGGCTGGGGACTCGCTAAAAGTGTCTCTCTGTACCCTATCATACAATGTCATTTATAATCTTTTTGATTTCACCACCTATTTTTTTGCCATCCTGTATCTGCATTTCCTTACTTTGGCTGATAGGGAATGTTGACTCCTGACTTCTCAACATATTTGCTGCTTCTCTGGAGGGAAGTATTTTGAAGGTAATTAATTCAAGTGCAGTTCTGTTGGGCATTTAACATACCACCCCAGTAAAAGAAAAAGACCTGTCTACTAACATTAGCTTCGCCCTGTAGACTGCTCCAACTGGCTTACTGTAGAATCTGTGAAAACCAGCTTCTCATGCTCCCAGCCATCTCAATTAGCTTTTTGTCTCTCCTAAAGATTTGGTGGCAGAGCAAGCCAATATTTGTAAACACGTAAAACCTAGCTACTTAGAATAATCCCATCTGTTGAATGCTGATTTCATATTTATTTATTTATTTGTGGTTTTATTTAACAATCCAGGTTGTTGTGCTAGTCCTCTTCATGTCCTTGCTTGGGATGAGTCTTTATGGAACTACAATGGTTCATGATGGGCTATACCTCACAGACATTGTTCCTCGTGAAACCAAGGAGTACGATTTCATTGCAGCCCAGTTCAAGTATTTCTCCTTCTATAACATGTACATCGTCTCTATGGGAGGATTTGACTATCCCACATCCCAGAAGTTGCTGTACGACCTCCACAAGAGTTTCAACAATGTCAAATACATTGTTCGTGAAGAGAATAAGGAGTTGCCCAAAATGTGGTTGCATTACATTCAAGACTGGCTAAGAGGTGAGATTTCAAAGATTCTCGGACAGAAATTAACAATGAGTTGTGAACGATGTGAAAATTGGAATAGATTGTATTAATGTTCATGGGTTAAAATAAAGATAACTTAGATAGGTCAAATGGAACCAAGCCCCTACTAGTAGGTTGGAGTTAATAGACACAGCCTCACTATGTAATAGTCTGTTCCTAATCTTCTCATTCTCATATTCTTTCACATAATTCTTATGACATGAGCTTGTGAATAACATCTGTTAAGTACCACTCTGCATGGGGTACTGGAAACAGAGTTTGGTGAGTGGTGTGCTTGCAAAATAATACAGGACTGGATGCACTGGGCCTTTGTGTCAACATTAAGATACTCACTGAACTTCACAGTCATTCATTGTTTACAGAACATTTTAAGCTTTTCCTGAGAGACACATGTGCAAGTTTTTCTTTGTGGCAAACCACAGCAATAGGGTATGTATTATGCTGAGCAGTTAGAACCCCATGACGTTTTGTGGCTAGTAGTAATTTTGACCACTTGAAGCTTAATGATGCTCCCTTTGCTGCCATTAGAGTACTTTGGCCCGAGTAGTATGTAGTGTGTCATACAAATAGTAATTGGGTAACATGGAGACATTGGTCCTAGTGACACTTTCTAGTAATAACGTGTGTGGTTGGTCTTTACTTCTTGTGTGAAGGTATATCTTGGAATGTTTTCAAAGCAGCGTGTTTTCCTTAAGCAAGTACCCAATTAAAATTATAAATCCTAAATTAATAGAAAGCAGCAAAAAATATTTGCAACACATCTGCACCATGAAGAGTCCTGATAGTTTACTTGCCAACAAACATGTAAATTATTTTCAACCTCCTGATTCCAGGTAGCCCTATTCCACATTAAAAGGTACGCATTCAAATTCATTTTAAGTACCTTTCTTTCCGGTAAGAAACATCGCTCAAACTCACTGACACTAAAGTGTTTCATGGTAGTCCCAATTATTTACTTTTCTTCAGCCTTAAGCTTCCTTTATTCATGTGCAAGTTTTAACTTGTCAAATTATTAGCAAGTTTGCCACTTATGGCATTGGCTGTTTCATTGCAAGTGGGCTCTGGAAGTCAAACTTTTGAAAGCCTTTATTTTGAACTAATGAAGATGATCTCAAATGATCCCAAGCACAGTTCTTAAACTTCAACAAGGGCTTGTGATTTCTTGTGGTGTTGGGAGTTCATGCAGTCAGGTGCTTTGTCCCGCTGTCAGACTGTTGCTGATTTGATTTGATTTATTGTAGGCATATGTACCTAAATACAGTGAAATGTTTTGTTTTGCGAGCAGTACAGGCAGATCATAGCAAACAAGGATATACAGATCATAGGGTGCAAAGACCGAGAGAGGAATACAAGATTACAGTTGCATGGGAGGTGCGCAAAGCAAGATCAATATTAGCAAGCATTGTAGCTGTCAATTTGCCTCCAATGGACTAACTTGAAGAAGAAATATTGACTCTGACTGAAATGACCAACACAAAATAATACCTGGAGTTTAACCTCTTGCAGCTCATGAGAGTTCAATCTTTGATTTTCTGAACTACAACGTGGTTGACCTTGTTCTAGTTGGCCAAGGCTGCAGGGCTGGTTTTACATAATATTTAAGCCAAAACTTCCAGAGAAAACTTTTCCAAAAGCTATGGATTATTGGGCAGATCCAGCACTGAGAACAACCTATCCTTAAACTTGATATGAAAAGTGCCAGGAGAGTTTGTGTCAATGCCATCTTATTCCTTAATCCAGTTTGATAGATTCTGCTTCCTCAGCACTTTGTCTTATTTCATCTCTTTGCCTCTTATTTAAAACGTTAATGTACCGTACTCTCCTCATGAATTTTATCCATTTCATCCATGTCCTGTAAATCATCTTTTAAAGTACTTAAAACGGACCTTTATTCAGCCGAGACTCACACCTAATCTGCTGTATCTCAACTTTGGAGATGGGGCTTTTGCATGTAGTTTGTGGCTTAATTTTACAGCGGCTTGGAAGAAAACAAAGATCAAGGTAGATGGAAATAATGAAGAAATTAAATCATACCACCCATGATTTGCTCCCTTGTAGAAGAATGTGGTGTTGCAAGCCCCCTTCTTATGCTAACAATTACTGACTTGTTCTGAGTGAATAACCTGAAGAGATTCAGTGTTATTCAGTTGCCACGTCTAGATATTTCTGCAACTAATAATATTGAATAACCTTGCCATCACCTAAGGAACTGGCTTGAAAACCTTGGCTTGAATGTAGCTCCTAGAAAACAAAAGGCACTTATCTTGACAAATCTCTTGAATTATCTTCTTTCTCTAAAAATGTTGTGTAATTCTATTTTAAATGTTAATACAATTGTACCAAGTGCATACGTTAACATTACAATGGAAACAGTCGTTGAGCTAATGCACAAATGATAGTGTGCGTGGTCTCAGTCAGATTGATAGGTCATTTTTGACAGGTGTAAATAACAAAGAGACACAAAAAATGAAAATTGGCTGCACTTGTACAAAACAGTTGGCTTATCAGTTCAGATGGCAGCAAAGACTCTTTTTTTTTTCATGAAATGAAGAAATATTTACCAGTTCGACACTTCAGTTACTAGAGAGAATGTAGCAAGCAGAAAATTTAAACTGGAGAGGGAGGCCCATGCTTCTGAAAGCAGAACAGTAAATGCACAAGAAACAAATGTGAAAGTGAATACTGTGAAAAACAAGTGAATGAAAGTCTACCCTGAGAGCCATTGGCAATTTGAATCCCTACAGCATGGAAGCAGATCATTTGGCCTGTTGAGTCCAAACCAACCCTCTCAAGAGCAGCCCACCCAGATCCAACGCCCCATTTCCTGTGGCTAACCCTCCTAGCCAGCACATTATGGGCAATTTAGCGTGGCCAATCCACCTGACCTGCACATCTTTGGACTGTGGGAGGAAACCCACACAGACACAGGGAGAATGTGCATACTCCACTCAACCAGTGGCCCAAGGGTAGAATTGAACCCAGGTCCCTGGCACTGTAAAGCAGCAGTGCTGACCACTGAACCACCAAACTACATGGAATAAATGTGGGCCAAGGAGCACAGACAACCTCACTCTGTCACAATGCTACTGTGCCTAAATTGAGTAGTGCTAATCCACCCACCTCCCCATGGTTTGGGGCATTACCCTATGCTGCAAAAGTAAGGAAAAACTTGTATTTATGTCATGCTTACAGCACAGTGAAACACTTCACAGGAGTGTTTCTGTACATCATTTGGTACTGTGCAAAGAAAAATTTATTATTCCAAAAGTTTGGGTAAAGCTGTTAAAGGAATGTTTTAAAGAGGAGAGAGAGAGGTGGTGATGTTTAAGGAAGGATTAGACAGCTTTGGGCACAGATGCAAATGATGAGGTGAAAGAATTTGGCGATGCACAAAGGTCAAGGTTGAAGGAACACCGAGTTCTCAAAGGTTGCACAAAGATAAGAAGGAGCGAGGCCATGGAGAGATTTGAACATGTGGTTGAGAATTATGATGTTACTGGATTGAGAGCCAGTGTAGATCAGCAAACACAGGGTTAGGAATCAAGGGGATTTGTTTTAAGTTCTGATACAGGCATCAGAACTTTTGCTGAGCCTATGTTTCCAATGAGTAGAAGGGAGGAAGCTGACCAAGAAAGCATTGGAATAGTTGTGTTTGGAGGTAATGAAAGTATGGGTGAGGGTTTTAACACTTGGTGGACTACTTACAGATGGGTGATACTATGGAAGTGGAAATAGGTCGATCTTTCTAATGGAGAAAGCAGGAGTTTAGAAATTGTCACAACCGGCTTTTGTGAGCTTTATGTAGTTAAAGGGAAGTTGCACTGGTCAGAAATGAAAACAACAGTTGCAACTTTCAAAGAACTAAATGTGTCAAAGCTTGAAAGAAAAACAAGAGGGGTATTGAAACCTACAAATGTCTGAAGAAGGAATTGAAAAAAACTATTAATAAGACTAAAAGTTAGATATCTACCTGCACAAAGTGAGTTTGGGAAAGAATCACACACAGTATGAGAGAAATGGTCACTTTAAATGAATGTTGTAATGATGGCCTTTACTCTCAATTGTCACTGGTCCAGCTTGCTTTTCAACTTCAACAGAATGTCCTTATATACATGTTTGTAGTGTTTCAATTCAAATATTTTCCAATCAGCCTGATCAGGGACGTTATTAAACACCTCTGAGGCAAGTGGGCCTTGAACCCAAGCCTCCTGTTCCAGAAGTACAGACACTGTCACCGCACCATAAGGATCCTTGGTGTTTCAATTCATAGCTGTAATTGTAATGATATACACCTGTGACTTAACTTTCTGAACAAATTTGAGGGTGGCATATTTGATTGGGTTACAAAAGCTTGTAAATGAAGGAGCTCCATTTCTATAGAGAAAATTCAAATGCATTGTGCAAAATTGCATTGGATCCTGAAAGCTTCTGGATTTATGAGATGAGGGAGGACCATAAGACTTTAAGATTTAGGAGCAGAGCTATGCTATTTGGTCTATACAGTTTGGTCCACCATTCGATCATGGCTGATATGTTTCTCAATTCCATTCTGCTGCCCTCTCCCTGTAACCTTTAATCCCCTTACTAATCAAAAACCTATCTATCCCTGTCTTAAATGCACCCAGTGACTTGGCCTCCACAGTCTTCTGCAGCAATGAATTCCACAGATTCACCACCCTCTGGCTGATGAAATTCCTCTCCATTGCAGTTCTAAAGGGTCATGCCTTCACTCTGAGGCTGTGCCCACAGGTCCTAGTCTCTCCAACTAGTGGAAACATCTTCTCTATGTCCACTCTATCCAGGCCTCTCAGTGTTCTGTAAGTTTAAATGAGATCCTCCTCATCCTTCTAAATTCCATTGAGTACAGACCCGAAGTCCTGAACCCCTCCTCATATGACAAGCCTGTCAGGAGTTAAGAAACCATTTTGGTTAATGTATGAAATTTGGGGCAAGAATCAAGATATCATTAAGGCACTGTTTACACAGTGACTACCGAGGAATCACTGGATTTTTATGTTTATTTTTCCTATAAATAAACTAACTTTTTTACTTAATCTAAACAAATGGTCAGTTAGCAATCCCATTGGAAAATAAGGTGCTGCAAAATTTTCCATGAACAAATGCATTGGGGATTCTGAGATAATAAGGTGTAGAGCTGGATGAACACAGCAGGCCAAGCAGCGTCAGAGTTTAATAATATTTTTATTTGGATAAAATGTATGCCCAAAAAAGGCTTTAGTTTAACGAATGGTTTTTGTATAGCTAAAGTATCTTCAGTGATGTCTGATGACCTGCAATATCAATGTAATTTGCACTTGGTTCTGGATCCTTTCCTAACAGAAATAACAAAAATAAAGCCTCTTCTAATTTTCTCATCCATTTGCCTCAATGCACTTTTTTTTGTCCTTGTAAATGATAGTGAATTTCAAAAATGGTCAGGATCTATTCTTCTAAGTAAAAAAGCAACAAAGTAGTGCATACATTTTTCAAAATTGACTACTACTTTACTGGTTAAAGAAATTAACATTATAAATCAATGATAATGACTTTATTTGTGCTGGAGAGGGTAAAGAAAACTAAATCACAAGATAAGCACGTAAGGTCGGAAAGTCTTCAACTTTTGAATATTTGATTTGCTCATACAGAAATAAGCACATATTCTTTGAACTGATGCTTAGTAAGATTTCTACTTCTTTAAAGAACACAAATATCAAAGAGAGTCTCAAAAGGCCATCCTGCTGTATTTTCTTCTTCATCCTGCTGCAATATAAAAAAGAGAAATTTGTAGCACTTCATCCAGAGGTCAATTTGCCTGTGGATCAGATCCATGATTCCTAACATTTCTCCACAATCACTTCTTCCTTAAAGTCCTGAATCATGTCAGCCTAGAAGGAACGTGGCTGATACTTCTGTGACATTGTTTGCTTTTAGATGTTGGGAGGGTTTTCTAAGTGGTATCTATCTAACAACCGTGCTCATCTTCACCTTCAGTGTTTTTCTAACAGCTTTCTGAAATGCTTTTCATTTTCTCCTGCTCAGAACATGGCACTTCCTGCCTTTTGATAGACTTTTCATGGGTGAGCTCAATAGTGCCCCCTGGTACCAATAAACAGCATTGTTCTGAGGCGCTCACCAGCATAAACATAGTTGCCTCCCAGCTCTCCTGAGTATGGAGCGCAGAAATGCATTCTAAAGAGTTGAATTCCCTTCGGGGCTGATTGGGGGAAGGGAACGGAGGGCGGGAAGCACAACGACGCCTTTCTCTTTCCCCAGTAAACCTACTCGTATTACATCCTGATGCCTTGCGGGCTTGAGTTGATTGCAGTTGCGTGATTGAATGACAAGGTGTGTTTACATTTCAGCAGAATCTCTGACAGGCACCCAACACTTTGTAAAGGACTCACCATGAGGTGGGATCATTATCCTATCTCAGCCCTTTAATCAAAGACACTCATCAAAATCTCTTTACAAAGCAGCAGTTTAGCAATGTTTCTAAATAGATTTGTGTCAAGATTTCCTTCAGCTGTATTGGTACTGGTGCAGGGTTTTGTTTAGAAATACTATTATCACATTACAATTATTTTTCCATTCTCCCACCTCCCTCTCTCACATCTACACACGCTGACTTTATTCCCTTGATGAGCAATTGTACCTGCCTGTACTTGGCTTTATCTAAGTAATGTGCAGATGGAGGAGCTCACAGAACTAACACCCAGAGTTCTGACACTACCTGTGGATGTCTTTCCCTACTGTCTCTTTCAGGCAACCTTCAGTTGTGTTTTGCCTTCATATAATGAACTCACCAACACATTACCATACTTTCACCGGAGAAATGCTCAAGCTGAATATAAAGTTAGGTCATAATAATACAGCTGTTTGTTTGAAGACATATTTTGCTTCTTCTTTAAAAGAGATAAATGAGCTTGTCCTTTATACCGAATCAGAGATAGTAGGAACTGCAGATGCTGGAGAATCCGAGACAACAA